TCTATTTTAAAACACAATAGCCAAAATAATACTGTTATATGTTATTTTAACCCAATTTCTATTTATTTCTCCTACAGAATTTCATTATAAAGATTATATTTGTATACTCAAAATTCCTAACTTGATAATCACACTTCTCTGCAAAAAAATGTACAAAAAATAAAAATTAAATTTATAAAAATTTCCTGTGAGATAAGCTATTAAGTGTTAAAATTTTTCTTCTGGAATTGAGTTTTTGTAATTATTATAATACATAATTGATCAAAACAACATAAATATTATAGTTTGATAATCATTAAACATAAAAGAACATTAAAAATGCATCTTACAATGAGTTAAATTGTATATCTATAAATATGATTCATTGTCATAATGAACCTTAACAGAGTACTGGTTCTGTTTCAACCTTCATTTTTATGAATGTAACGTAGGAGAAAATTCATTCACATAAAACAGCAGATGAGAATGAAAGTTGTCACAGCCAAATCACTGAATTATTTAAATTCTTTCTGGGTTATAGTCGAAAAACCATATGATCACCTATGATCAAGTAATATTTTTAATAATCTCTCAGCTGACAATTCAATTAGGTCTGTCTCAAAATTTCTTTTAAAACAGCCTATCAGTAGAGTTACTCATTTACTCATTTTCTCATTTCCTGTGAAGCACACAAAAAAGATCTTACAAAGTTTCATCATTTTTTTTTTCAACCACCGGCTTCTTGTTTATCCTAAGACAGTGAGACAGGATTGGGAAAACTGAAATACTGTTAGTTTCAACATCTGGCAAAAAAAAAAGAAAGAAAGAAAGAAAGAAATCAGCAATCAATAAAAATGTTTTTATCTTATCGCTTGTTTTAAATGTATTTCTGAAAAAACATAAGATCTCAGAGATGAAGATTAAGCTCATTTAGTTTAAGGAGAACGTCTACCATATCACATAAATGGAAAAACCTGTTTAGAGGCTTACTTTTTCAGGAAATATAACTCAATTTTCCCATTCGAGTTAATATGTTAACCCATTCCCCAAATGCCTCATCTCATCTCAACTCTAATTCTAAAACTTTGATAAGCCACAGACCCTTACCTGAGTTTATCACTTGGATATAACCAGGTACTGCCCCCCTTCAGCATTTCTGTTTTGCTCTTATCTCAGAATGACATTCTTCAATAAGGAAGAGAGATGATAAGGTAAAGTCACTTCATGAAAACTTACCATTCTGGGAATTCAGCACACTGCAACAAAGGCCAGTTTTTAACATGAGGCATTACACCGAACAGATATATGTTTAAATGTAAGAGACTGAACAGAGATTTTTCCATTGTGGTCCTTCCATGTCTTTGTCCCTACAACTAATCTTTCCCAAATCCTCTTGCACATGACCTTGGTCACAAGCTGTCCCCTTCCTCATCTCTCTGGGTAAAATCCAAAATGATCAAACAATGGCTGCTAATCTCTAAGAACAATTCCTCCATCTTCTAAGATTCATTCCTGACCAATTATTCCTAAAAGGAGACATTGGAGGTGACTCCCCCTCCCTCCCCCCACAATAAGACATACTACCCTCTTTCCCCAAATTATAATGTTCTCTTGACACCCTTCCTCATGTCCAGCATTTTGAATGAAGGCTTATTCTTTGCTCTGATTGATTTTCCTTCACAGGGAAAGACAAGAAACTCTACTTAATACCTTAATTAACGGAGGCTTCATTAACGCCAGTAATGTAAATTTTCCCTTTTTTTCTGGATATACTGGAGGTTTTCTGCCTTCTTTCCCAGGGCAACACACCGTAAAAATACTCATGATGGACAGGAGTATGTCTTTCTTCTTTAAACTAGAAGGGCAAATCCATAACGTGGGAAAAGAGAAGCAGCATACTACTTTGCTACCCTGACCAAAGGAGCCTTGTCAGGAAAGAAACATGGAAGCTGAGAATTGGAAAAATGACTCCTGTAAAACGACCTGCATACCACAGTTAGAAGAGCGCTGGTTTAGTATGTCTAGAGTACAAATTACAAGGAAAGAAGTCACCATGAGCAGTCTTCTGTTAAATAGAAGAATCAGACCCACAAATCTAGCAGCTACAAGAATTACCAGACAGCAAATATAAATATTTAAAAGCATTTAAAGAATTGAGTGTTTTTAAAAATATAAGTAAAAAGAGACTATCAGAAATGGCTAGGCCAATTTGAAAACTAAAATCCAGAACATCTAGAAATAAAAAATGAAAGTAGAAACTCAATAAATACGTTATACAAAAGGACGCACATATGGAGGTGAACAAACCTAAAGAAATTACACTGAATGACGCTCAGAAAAGACAAAGGATGCAAACTATGAAAGCACCGAGACAAAGAAATAAAGCAGAAAAGTGCAACACATTATCTAATAGAAGTTTTAGTAGAGAATAGAGATAATAGAAATAATACGCCAAAGTCCCAAACAAGGTACTTTATACACAAAAGGAAATCAAGGCTTGGAAAATAAGAATTAAAATCATAAGAAGGAGGTTGTTAAAGCTCCAAAAAAATTGGCCATATTTTTAAATTAAGAACTTTTAAACATCAAAGGACTTCATAGAGTGAAAACTCAAATTTGGAGAAGACATTTGCAATACATATAACAAAGGATTAGTATCTAGATTAGTATCAAGAAACAAATGATGAAACAAAAAAATGGTTCAAAGCAATATAGGTGTTTAGAAAGGGAATCACAAATGGTTAATTAACATATGAAAAGATGCTCAACCTCATTAAGATGCAGTGAATTGCAAATTTCGCTCCAAAGAGACACTATTTCACCCCCACCAGATTAACAAAACTTAAAATGTCTAATAACATCAAACGTGGTGGGTACATTAGGGTTCACTTTATTATTTCCTAAACTGTATACACACATGATATATGTTCTTTAATATGCATGTTTCGTAACAAAAATATTTTTAAGTGCCACCTGATTTTAGCAATAAAAATGTTTGTTCAAGACCCTGCTGAGAGCAACTTCATTCAAATAATCAGCATGAAAACCAGACAGCAATGAGCTGAAAAGGTTCTATGAGATAATGATGTAAAGACAACTACAGACAACTATTACAAGCTTATCTTTGAGGTTAGCCAGACAGGACAGCAACTTTGGGGAATGTCATAGTGAGAGCTTCTTTTATTATTATTTTTTAAATTTTTTTAAATAAAGGAAATTGCGTCAAATTTAAAAATGGCGAGAGAGAGGATAATGATCCAGGAAAATAAAGGGTCACTGGGTAGTCACAAAGGTATACAATACAGAGCCCATGAATAGGATTAGCTTTAGACAGAAAGGAGGGTTCCTGTCTCATTGTTACAATAGATTACCTCTTTGTCCCTATCACATCATTTATCTTTTTGCTCTAACCACTCCAGTTACAATGGCTTCCTTGATCCTCCCTCAAGCAGCCTCTGCCTCAGGACTTTTGTGCATATTATTAGTTCTGGAGAACCGAGAATACTCTTTCTCAGATGAAGCAAAGCCTACTATTCAACTATTTCAAGTCTACTCAAATGTGAACTCAGTGAAGTGGTTCCCAGACCACTGTGAAAGTAAAATCCCCTCCCCACTCCCTACCACCCTGCTCCTGGTACTTCCTAGTCTCTTTCCTTGCTTTATTTTTCTCCATAATTTTCTAATATTCTATATAAGACACTCATTTTACTATTTAATCTCCCTACTCCATTGTATGTAAACTCCATGAATGCAGGAACTGTGCCGGGCAAATGCTTTATATAGGGAGACAATAAATACATGCTGAAGGAATGATTAATGGTCCCTGCTTGAGGAATTTGAAGAACAAGTATAACAGAAATAATGCTGTAAGGTTTGAACAAAATAAGATAAAACCTAGAGAGTAATCGACTTACTAATCGACTTACTGACTACAGAAGAGGCGACATCTGAATTAGATATTAAATCATGAGGAATTTGCCAAGTGTTAAAAAAAAGGTAGACATTCCAAGAAAGTGAAGAACACAAAGGTTTGGAAGGGCCATGCACATATAAGAAATGAAAATAAGTACACCTGGAGTATGGCAGAGATGACGGTGGACCAAATTTTAGATAACTTTATAACATTCACGACAGAGGATACATTATATTGAACTTAACTCTAAAAATCCTTTTCAGAGATTTATAGTTGTCTATTTATTTACATGCAGTAAAGTCAGAGTATGGAATATAAAATACAGCTGACATAACACTACTGTAACTACACTTCACTGTAAAGGAAAAAAGCTTTAACAAATTTAATCCCTGTTTTCCATCAACTGTAGATTATCTGTTTCACAATCAATCAAGGTGAGAGTACTACTACCAATGTCTCAAGCTAGGTATTATTTAATTAAAGACTAAAAATTCTCACTGGTGGAAGAAAGTGATTTGCATGTAGACTAGACGAGAATGGTCAAATTCAAATGCTTGTATTGCTTTGTAAAAGATACTCTACATTTAACCATTTAAGAAGATTTGAATAGGCTTGCATTTGTCACAATTAAGCTTCATAAGACTATGTTTTTCGATTAGTCTCTATTTCTTTTGTCCATATCACTGCTGTCTTCCGGACACTCACCTTCGCTTTAACTCCAAAATCAATCACTCAACTACTTAGGTTACTTTCAGGATTCTCTGGTGGAGACAAGAGGCTCTTGTGTGTACGTATGTACACACACACACACACACACACACACAAAATCTTAGTGCAGTGTGTTTCAGAATTCATGAGCCCAAGTAGTCAGTTTAGGAACATTTAAGCTCAAAACAGGAGCGGCGGTGGACACCATGGTGCTGTTGGAGTTTTGGCTTTCTGGAACCTGCGAGGGGGCAGAGAGAAGGTGGGGATCCCTTAGGAGAGCGGGGCTCCACCCTGTTCTCAGGTCTAACCCCAGGCAGGGCGAGGCCTGCCCCAAGAACCAAAGGGCGGTATGTGAACCCCGGAGCGCAAGGCGGGGGCGCGGCGACTCGGAAAGACTCACAGTAATAGGCCACAACAGGGTCTCGTTTGTCATGCTCCTGAGCCGTCCTCAGATGATGCTGAATGCTCTTAAACTGTGGGGGGAGCGGAGGCAGCGGGGCAAGCGCAGCCATCACTACTCCGAGACTCACCACTTCCTAGTCGTGCGCCACCGACACTTCCGCTTCCGCCGGGAGGTCACGCGCACGAACGCGCATGTCATGTCCCGCCCACTCTCCCGTTGCTCAGCGACAGCAAGTCAACTACGGATTCCCAGCTGGAGCAACCACACTGTGCTTGACTCCTGGAAAAAAGGCTGAGCGACACCAGCGCTCTCTGCCGATAGGAAGGAGAGTTTTCGTTTTGCTTTACTTTTACGTTGTTGGTCGCCTACCCTCGCCTTTTGTGGCAAAAGAAGGGCTAGAAAGGAAAAAACAAAAAGAAAATAATATTTGTAGATTGGGAAAAAGGGTAAAGGCGTGAATTGCCTTTGGCATCATTCAGGAATTATAGCTTTCAATTCCTCAGATTATATTAATAGCATCTATAGAAACTTTTCTGATCTTAGAAACTGTAAATTCAATTTTTCCGGAAGATGAGAGATGATACATTTAAACTTTTAAATTACATTCTTCTATATTGATACATTGGAAAATATAACCGAACTGTTTTTCAAATTAAAAGGAAATTGAACTTTTCTTCTGAACTGGATAGTGTATACTTTAGTGAATGAATAATCTGCAGATTGTTTATTTTTGGAGAGTGATTAACAATTTGCAAAGTATTTTGACATTTATTATCTTGTTAATGCACAGAGAAGGGTTTGTGGTATACTTCTTGCTCAATACTACTGACTCATACCATCGTAGGCATCAATTTTTCCTTCTAACATCTATAACCACAATTCTTTTTCTCTCCTTTTCATCCCATACGATCATCTTTCATTTTATCTCCTCGAATAAACATTATTTCTTCAATTTATCACAGGCCCATGTTTGGAGAATTAATCTTAAAACTAGATTTCATTGAAATTACACCATTTCTGAGAATCAAGATCTCAAGCTCTGAAATTTTCCTCTACTATTCTTTAATCAACACTGAAACATGCCCTCAACCCCTGTAGAAGCTGCTCTATGTCCTTTTATTACCCCCAGTCCACATACTTTGTCTATCCTTATTTGCAGATAGATTCCATCGCCTTACTCTGGGTTTGGCTTTTTTACCAGGCAAGAAACTGAGTTCTGTACTCTCCCCAACCTCAGCAACATATTTATAACCACTACAGGATATATTTGCTATGAACTGAATATTTCTGCCCTGCACCCCTCCCACCAATTCATATGTTGAAATCTAATGCTGGAAGCGATGGCCTTAGGAGATAGGGCCTTTGGGAGGTGATAAATTTCTGTCGTTTATAAGCTACCCAGTCTGTGATATTTTGTTATAGCAGCCCAAACAGACAAAGACATTATGGTTTCTTTCTCTTATTCCCACTATGTTGGTAGAGAAATTAATGAAGCAAAGCAGAGTGATATAACCATAAATGTCTTTTCTCTGTCCTTATGACTTCTCCTTTATCATCTTTGTATTACTTCTTGATTCCCAACTATGGTGGTCCTTAAAGATCACCTCAGAAGATTTTTTAAAAGATTCATATCTAGGTCCGACCACCAGGCATTCAAATTTAATTGTTTCAGGTTGGATCCTAAGCATCAGTATTTGGTAAAGGTCTTCAGGAAATTTTAATGGCATATCTAGGATTGAAGGGAAGTGCCCTCGTGAATCACCAGTATGCATCTGATTTGTTAAGCCTTCCCTACTCTCTTCAAGCCAAACTCTCTGCCCTGACTGCCTTGGTCAAAGACTGTACTCCCTGCTAGACAGATTAGGACCACCAAACAGGAATTGTTTCACCTCGCATCTGACACAAAAAAAGCAGTAATTAGCTAAAATTTACTGAGTATCTACTATGTAATGCGCATGTTTCTAGGAGCTTTACATCAACTCATTTAATCTTTATCACCATCCTATGAAGAAGTATTATCATTTTCATTATTTTCTAGATAAGAAAAATAAGACACATAGAATTTATATAACTTGCACCAGGTCACAGCTAGTAAATATAAGTGTCCAACATTAAAATCCAGGTACTTTGGTTTTAGAGTCTTTGACTTAACCACTACTACTTGACTTTAAGGTCTCTTTAGGCCTGTATATTCTCGTGTTTTGTCTTTTCTCCATTGCATCATCCTATGTCTGAAAACAAATGTTCTTCTTTCTGGTGAAAGCTGCACCTTTCTGTTATTTTCCTGATCTCTCCCTTCAGGAATGGAGATTCCTCATGGTCCCCTTCTCATTTGCATTCATTCTAGGAGGGAAAGGGCAAAATAGCAAAGTGAGCGAAATGGTTACAATTAGATTTTACTCCATTTGCCAACACAAGTTCTCTTTTTTCTGAGTTACTACCTTATAAAAGATTAGGGCTTCCAAACCACGAATGTGGTTTATTATTCTCCTTATTAAGAGCATCTTTAATTTCTTTCAGCATTGTTTTGTAGTTTTCATTGTACAAATCTAGAATATCTATTGCAAAATTTATCCTTATGTGTTTTATGTTTTTGAATATTATTTCAAATGACATTTTAAAAATTTAAATTTCATCTTTATTACTTTACAGAAATATTAACCTTGATAAATTTATTTATTTTAGTAGCTTTTGTACATCTTTTAGAATTTTCTACGTATGTGATCAGGTCTGTGAGTAAAAATATTTCTTTTTCCAACCTGTATATCTTTTCTTTTTTTGACTTATAACATGCATTAAATAAATATACATTCAAAACATATATTTTGTTTTTGTTTTGTCTTATTGACCTCCAGTTCAGTGTTAAACAGAAGTGGTAAAAGTTGACATCCTTTTTTCCCTTATTAAAGGAGAAATTGTTCATTCTTTCACTATTAAGTGGGATGTTTCCTCTACGTTTTCTTAGATTTTTTTTATTACATTTACATAGTTTCCTTTTACAGTGAGAGGTTTTTTTTTTTAACTTATTTCATCATAAACTGGTATTAAATTTAATCAAATGCTTTTATCCGTTTCTATTAGAATGATTATGTGAGTTTTCTCCTTTATTCCATTAATCCAGTTGATTATATTAACTGGTTTTTGAATGTAAAAACAACCTTTCATTCTTGGAATAAACCCCTCCTGAACATGATGTATTATCTGTCTGTCTGTCTGTCTATCTGTTTATCTATCTATCTATCATCTGGATTACAATTGCTAATATATTTTTGCTAAAAAAATTGATATCAAGGTTTTTACATTAATTTTATTAAATGAAATGGCAGATATTCCCTCTTGATTCCTAAAAGAGATTGTGGAGTATTATTTCTTCCTTAAATATTTCATGGAATTTACCAGTCAGGCTATCTAGGCCAGACATTTTATATGTGAAAGGCTTTTGATTTTAAATTTAATTTCTTTAAAAGTTATAAGGATATTCATATTTTCTATTTATTGTTGAGTAAGTTTTTAGCAATGTGTGCTTTTCAACGACTTTGTTCATTAAATTTAAATATCAAACTTATTGGCATAACATTATTTATGATGTTTCCTTGTAATCATTTAAATGTTCTGTTGTGATGCCTCTTTTTTCATTTATGATATAGGTAAATTTCATTTTCTCCTGTATTATCTCAATCTGTCTAATAAGAAATTTATCAGTTTTACTAATCTTTTCAAAGATCCAGCTTTTTGTTTCATCGATTTTTTTCTATTATCTTTCAGTTTCTGATTTCAATCTTTTGTGCTCTTATTTTTATTTTCCTCCTATTTGATTTATATTCAAATTGTTTTTTTATAATTTCTTAAGATAAAAAGTTTAAATCATTTTATAACTTTTTTCTAACATAATATTTAGAATTTCTAATAATATTCTGCAAGCACTCTTCTAGCAGCTTTCCACATGTTTTGATAAATTATGTTTGCATTATCATTTGTTTAAAATGTTTTAAAATTTTCCATGTAATTTCTTCTTCGATTCATGGGTTAATAAAATTCTATTGTTAGTTTCTCAAATATTTGAGCATACTTCTGATGTTTTACTTTTATTATTTATATTAATTCTGTTGTGAACAATATACTCTGTATGATTTTATTCCTTAATACTTTCTTATGTCCCACTAAATGGTCTCTCTTGGTAAATGTTTCACATGTACATAATATATATGTATGTATATACATATTTGTTTAGTTCTGACATTCTTATTAATTTTTACTACATTTGCATTTTGGTTAGAAAGATCAGTTTTTATACTTTAAGTATAAATATTTGTATTTATACTTTATAGTTATATATAGCATTTATTATTCAGGAGTGTATAGCTGTGTGCTAACAATCCTGATATACTTACTAATGAAATGAAATCATAGAATAGTATGTCAGTAAGTCATTAAAAAGATTGTCCAAACTAACTTTTCGCCCTGTATATTTTAACATAATAATATGTACTGTTTACTTAAAAGAAGCAGAAGTAAGCAGGGTTCCTTTGGTGGCTTAGAAATACCATCCTTTCACCTGTTAGTTGAGGAGATAGAATACAGGGTGGCCAAGGAGGCTAGATTTTGCAAGGCAGACACTAGTGTAGGGGTGAACTAAGAAGCACAAGAGCTCCAAAGATTTGCAAAGGGTCCTCACCTGAGTCCCATTCGGTGTAACATCTTAAACATCTTTCCTACTTGAAAAGACCTACTTGAAAAGATTAAAAGGAATGACACCTAAGATTCACACAAGACTGAGAATAGTTGCTGTTCCCAATAGCCAGGGGTATATTCTGACAGTGTTCTAAAGTATGAATCAGAATAAGAATAAATCGAAATATTCATTAACGAATGGGCAATGGCATTAGGGGAAGTCTATTCTGGATTCTTTGAAGAAATGATCTCTGAGAAAAATCCTCAAAGGCAAATCAGGAGAATATCTTTTTGCCCTTTCTCTTATTTTGGTTGCAGCAAAGACTTGCTTCCTGTAGCTGCAACAATTTTTGTTGCAACCATTAGAGCAAAACACTGAATGATTGTGTCCCCTAAAATTGATATTTTGAAATCCTAACTCATAATGTAATAATATTAGGAGGTGGAACCTTTGGGAGGTGATTAAATCATAAAGGTGGAGCCCTT